ACTCAGGGTCCCAGGTTCAATTCTGGTCAAGGGCACATGTCCAGGTTGCTGGCTCTATCCCCAGTGTGGGTGTGCAGGAGGCAGCCAATCAATGATTCTCTCTCACCATTGATGTTTCTATCTCTCTCTCCCTCTCCCTTCCTCTCTGAAATCAATAAAAATATATTTAAAAAATTTTTTCAAGGAAAATATATCCTTCCCCAGGGACAGGCCCACAATATCGTATGGGCCATTCACAATTCCCTACATAGAGGATACAGACTGCTTTTACAACTCCTAAAACCCCTCATCACATGTCCTAGCCTAGTCCCTACTGCAAGATATCACCAAAACCTGTTCTACTTGGTACTCGGTATCTCCCCAAGGACAGGTTAGACCTTCTTCTTTCCCCACTCATCAGTCTAGTGGCCAAATCCCTGAACAAGACTGGCGAATTGACTTCTCTCACATGCCCCCTATTAAAAGAACCAAATATCTCTTAACCCTATTAGATACTGGGTAGAAGCATTCCCCACTGCGTCTGAAAAGTCCTCTGAGGTCACTCAAACTCTCATTCAGCATATCATTCCCAGATTCTGCCTCCCACCTCATTACAATCAGATAAAGGGCCTGCTTTCATATCTCAAATAACTCAACAGGTCTCCACTCTGAACATCCAGTGGAACTTACACACCACCTACCGGCCCCAGTTTTCAGGCAAGGTAGAAAAGGCAAATTCCTTAATTAAGTCTCACCTAAATTAACTCTGGTAACTAAAGAACCTTGGATTACTCTCCTACCTCTAGCCCAGCCGTGGGAAACTACAGCCCGCGGGCCGGATCCGGCCCGTTTGAAATGAATAAAACTAAAAAAAAACCAGCCATACCCTTTTATGTAATGATGTTTACTTTGAATTTATATTAGTTCACACAAACACTCCATCTATGCTTTTGTTCTGGCCCTCCGGTCCAGTTTAAGAACCCATTGTGGCCCTTGAGTCAAAAAGTTTGCCCACTCCTGCAGCCTTAAGTGCATCAGGGCACCCCTCCCCCACCCCTGCCATGCAACCTCCTTTCTTAGTCTCATTGAACTCATGTATGGAAGACTTTTCTTATTAGGAAACTTCCCTTCCACAGAGACCCTTCTAGGAGACTGTCCCCATTTTATTTTTATTTTTTCAACCTTTTAAAAACATATTTTTTATTGATATCAGAGAGGAAGGGAGAGGGAGAGGGAGAGAGAGAAGCATCAATGATGAGAGAGAATCATTGATTGGCTGCCGCCTGCATGCCCCCTACTGGGAATCGAGCCCACAACCCGGGCATGTGCCCTTGCCCAGAATTGAACCCGGGACCCCTGAGTCCACAGGCCGACGCTCTATCCACTGAGCCAAACCAGCTATGGCTGCCCCATTTTAAATCTCACCCAGCAATTACTGAGAAAACATACTGGTCAGGTCCTCCCTCGACCTTTTACAGGAGACATTTCCCCTACTCCTCTACAGCTAGGGGACTGGGTCCTCCTAAAGGAACCCCATCTGTCAAATAATTTATAGCCCCGATGGCAAGGCCCTTATCAGATACTCCTAAGTCCCCCACCTTTTAGGTAATTATCTTACAGCCCAGGCAAATCAAGCCTCCCTTCTTTTCCCTACGTATATTCAATCTCTTGCTAAGGTAGCTCCTTCCTCCATCCCAGTCACAGTTCCTATCACTCTCCACACCCCACTAATCACCCAAGCCCCTTTGTGCTTTACAAAGTCACAGGATAATATAACAACAGGCCATCTCCCATCATCAGCTTGCAACCCCACAGTTAACCTAGAACTACTGAACAGCCAGTGGTCCCAAGGGGTTGACTACCAGGTCTCCCCAGAAGCTAAAGGTTATTTCCTACAGATGATCTGTTTTATTTCTTTTTAAAAAAATATATATTTTATTGGTTTTTTTACAGGGAGAAGGATAGAGAGTTAGAAACTTCGATAAGAGAGAAACATCGATCAGCTGCCCCCTGCACACTCCCTACTGGGGATGTGCCTGCAACCAAGGTACATGCCCTTGACTGGAATCGAACCTCAGACCCTTGAGTCCGCAGGCTGACGCTCTATCCACTGAGCCAAACCGGTTAGGGCTGTTTTGTTTCTTATTCAACCATCCAGGCTCAAGGCTTCAGCTGCTCCTTTCCTTCCCTTTCTCTTTTCCCTAGGATAACAGCCCATTCTAGCGTTCCTTCCCACTTTCACTGCAATGGAATCTCAACCACTCATCTGTCACCCCTTATCGGTAGCACCATGGAACTACCCTCTCAGTTTGGAGGGTGGAACTGGGAAAAGGAACCTCATACCCTTTAGTTCACCTCTTCTCTCTACACCTTTCAGCTTGTTTCCATGATCAGGGATATTTCATCCTTTGTGGGGAAAACACATATATTTGCCTCCCGACCAATTGGACAGGAACCTACCTCTCACCCAATGTAGATGTAGCCCCTAATAATCAATCTTACTGTCCCTGTAATCCATCATATCTGACACAAAAGGGCAGTCCAGATAGTCCCTCTCCTCATAACCCTCGATATCTCAATAGGTGTCGGGACTGGCATAGGAGGCTTAACCACTGCTCTATAATATTTTGAAATCCTGTCTCAGGACCTACAAGAAAGCCCAGATGACATGGCCAAAAGTTTAGTTCAATTTCAGCATCAGAGAGATTCACTAGCAGCTGTCACCCTCCAAAATCAGAGAGGACTAGACCTCCTAACGGCAGAGAAAGGAGCTATGCCTCTTTCTGGAGGAAGAATGCTGTTTTTATGTCAACCAGTCTGGCCTAGGCAGGGATGCCACCCAAAAATTAACGGAAAGGGCTGAAAAGATTAGAGAACATCAATCAAATTCATGGGGCTACTGGCTAAAAAATATAAATTGGTATACCAGCTTACTTCCTTCATAGGACCATTAACATTCCTATTCCTCATCCTCGGTTTTGGCCCATGTATTCTGCGTCATTTTTCATCTTTCCTTCAGGATGGCTTTTGCATCTTCACCAACCAGACTCTTGGGGAAATCACGCTGCTGCAACCCCTCCTCCAACTGGGAGGATCTATGCAGCGTTCCAGCCGACTGCAATCAAAGTCCACCCCCTATGATCTGGATGTCCCCTCTCAGATGGAAGAAATGACCTCCATCCCTGTTCCATAAAACAGAGAGGCTGAATGTTAGGTCTGATCCAATAACTGAATCAATAACCCCTCCCCTGGGAACTGACCTTTAGATCACTTTACAACTGACATTCCCTTTCGCTTAGACCACTTTCCACTTATTAAGACCATTGTCTTTCCTCTCTGGACTTTCCCAGGATCTGGACTGCCCAGAGAGTTCGCTACCGAAAAAGCCCACTTAGAGTACTTTGAAACCTCTGACTCCCCATCCCTGGGTGCCAGCACCATTTTGGGGCTCAGCCCATATGGCCTCCAGATGACCTAATTCTATCCTATATACTAAAAGGCTAATATGCATATTGTCCCCTCAGGAGTTTGACCAAATGGGAGTTCAACCGCTTGCTATGACATGCACTGACCACTGGGGGGTGGTGCAGAACAAAGGAAGGCTCCGGCTGGCAGCCAGGGGAGGGAAGGCCCTGATTGGCCCTTATTGCCAGCCAGTCCTAGGGACGCTACCTGTGCACAAGTTTCATGCACCAGGCCTCTAGTTAACTTATAATTCTTTACCACTTTTGGCCTTGTGCCTTCCTTGGTGATCCTAACAGGCCTCAGTTTCCTTCTCAATAAAACAAGGGTGCTATGATATTAAATTTAAAAATGATAAAATATGTAAATGCTTACCATAATGCTGTAGTAATGATAGGGGGCCTTATAATTGGACAGATAGAGCACTTTAATTAATCTGAAAAATAACCATATTATTTTAAATCTTAGAACACATATACTTATGTGAATAGGGGGTTAAGTTTCTCATATGTGAATAAGGGGTTAAATTTTTCTTAAGGTTCCTTTTCAAGGCCTGTCTGAAGCATGACTCAGCTGTGAATCCAGCAAGCTGAACCGATTATCATGGTCAGACCAATCCACCAGGAGTCAAACATCGTCTCATCAACATCATCTTATCGCCTGATAACCAAGGACAATAGCTAACATCTGCAGACCTCCAGGGCTGCAAGTAGCTGCATTGGGTTCCGGTTCCCAGCCTCACCGTAGCCCCTTCCCCTTTACAATCCTGTCCCCTGCACTTTGCTATAAGACAGGATTTTATTGCTTGTAAGCGCCCTGTCTTCTTGGTTGGCTAGCCTTCTCAATAAACGCCTAATATGATTCAACTCTGCCTTCATTATTGGACACAGGCAGCCCGAGACCAGTAACAGTAGCAATGACAGCACTGGTGTATGGTTGAATTTGCCACATAGAATTTGTCTTTCATTTTTTTTGGGGGGGGGGGGGGCTCTTTCTAGGTATATTAATTTTTTAAATCTTTATTGTTGAAAGTATTACATACATTTCCTCCCCCCCCCTCATTAATCCCCTCCAGCCCGCCCCTGATCCCCACTTTTTTCTGATTCTATTTTCTACTATTAGCCACAGGCTGTCCTTACCATTCTTACCAAAGTACAGACAGGGCAAGTTGTCAGTGACTTTTTGAGGGCCTCCCCTTCGGTAGGCAGCTGTGCTATGATTTTTAACTGAATATCTCCGCGCACTCAGGTTGCAGAAAGCTTTCTATTTGTGCTTTCTTTTAAAAGTGTGTGTGGGGGGGGGGGGGGAGGGGGGCGGCGGGGGGCGCGGGTCACTGAAGAATGGTTTTTGCAGGAGAGTGGAGAATGCTGAAAAGTGAAGGCGGCGAGAGTTAGAGGCAGGGAGGAATGCCCAGCGTCACGAGTGTGTGGAAGGGACAGCTGTGACGGCGAAAGTAGTCTCAGGCCCTCTTTTCTACCCTAGGATGTGCCCCCATCGGCCCCACCACGCTGTGATTTAGTGTTGTCTGCGCATGTCAAGGTCTTTTGTCCCTCGGCGGACGCCGTCTGCCAGCCAGCGCGATGCCTGGGTGCTCACCCTCTCCGTAGGGTGTCCGTGGGCTTCTACCCTCTCGTCCCAGCTGGCCATGGCCAGCCGCGGGGCTCGGCAGCGCCCCAAGGGAGGCGGAAGCAGCGGCGGCGACACGGCCTCGGCCGCGGACAAGCTGCGGGAGCTGCTGTGCGGCCGCGAGGCGGGCGGCGCGGAGCCGCGGGCCGAGTAGGTGCGGGGCGGGGGCGTGGCCGGCGGCGGCGCGGAGTCTCGGGGTCTCGGCCGCGCGGGCCCGCTGGCCCCGGGGGCCCGGCTGCCTCTGCACCCGGGTTCTTTTGCTCTTCTCGGGCGGGTCAGCGTTCCGTCTCCACCCCGTCCTAGACCTCCACCTCGGGTCCGAATTTGCTGTATGGAAACCTGGGGTGCGGCTCCCGGCCCGGCCGGGGCTGGCGTCCTATGTGTGAGCGGCGAGAGCCGAGAGTACACCCTTTTGGGGTCTCGCCGTTTCCTTCATTCTCTCCAAACCCCGGCCCTTTCATGCGAAGGCCCCACAGCCTCCAGCACGGCACCCGCCTCTCTCCCAGGCCGGGAACCGCAGGTTAGGGCTGCACCGAAGAGCTGTCAGCAGACGGAGCTGGAAGAGGGCACAGCGCCTTGCACATGTTAGGCCTCTGTACGTTGGAATAAATGAGCTGATGAATAAATAAAGCCACGGAGAGCAATGGCCTTGTTACGAAAAGAAGGAAACGGGGTGAGAGCTTTGTGGTCTTCAAGTGAGTGGTTAGTTGGCTGGGGGTAAATGGAGCGTCACAGATGCCGAGAACTAAAGGGTATGCGTTCGCTTACACCTGCAAAGCAGGAAGTGGAAGGAATGATGAAGGTTGATCGGCTCCGGACAGCTAACTGCTCACCGCTATTGGAGAATACTTCAGGGCTTTAATGTCCCTTGCCAGTCCTGTCTTTTTTGTCTAATTTTAGTCCTTCTAGTTAGTAGGCACTTCCTGACACATACTTTTTTTTTTTTTTTTTTTTTTTTTTTTTGCTTCTGAGCAGGTTATCTGGGAACAAAGCAGGCCAAGTTTGGGCACCGGAAGGATCTACTGCTTTCAAGTGCTTGCTCTCAGCAAGGTTATGTGCTGCTCTTCTGAGCAACATCTCTGACTGTGATGAAACGTTCAACTACTGGGAACCAGTAGGTGACTTCTTTGGGTATTTTTGTTGTTCTTGATTTCATTGCCTGGGACCTTGTTACCAATCAAGATACAAATACTATATACACGTGTTACTAGTAGGAAAATAACTTTATTTGCACTTTTGTATTCTAAGTTGATGATTTAGTAGTCGTGCCTATTTTTTTAAAATACATTTTTATTGATTTCAGAGAGGAAGGGAGAGGGAGAGAGAGAGAGAGAAACATCAATGATGAGAGAGAATCATTGATCAGCTGCCTCCTGCATGCCCCCTATTGGGGATGGAGCCGGCAACCCGGGCATGTGCCCTGACCAGGAATAAACCCTTGACCTCCTGGTTCATGGGTGGATGCTCAACCACAGAGCCACGCCAGTCAGTTGAAGGCTGTAGGGAATCTGGCTGTTTTATGAAAGGATATAATTTGTAATTTCCTTAAAAATTTTTAAAAATCAAAATAACACTTTGAGAAAGTTTTTAAAGTTAACCATTACTACAAAACTTTAAGGAAAAACAGGAGTTTCCAGTTCCATTTCTTATGTTCAAATCCCAGTCCCCAGAGGCAGCCGCTTTCAACTTTCTTAGTTATTTCTTCTGATGGTTACTAAAAGAAATATCATTACTAAGTAGTATGCTCATACTGCTATTTCTTGATTTTTAGATTTATAAGTTGGTTGACTTTGTATTACCGAAAATTCAGAGGTGAAATTTTCACATCACATTTTTCATAAAAAAAGAATGTTTAGTGTAGGTGGTTTAAGGAAAATATAAGATTTTGAGTTTTTTTAAGTTTTGTTGTTTTGTTTTTAATATTTTTATTGATTTCAGAGAGAAACTGGGAGGGAGAGAGAAATAGAAACATCAGTGATGAGAGAGAATCATTGGCCTCCAAAGGGGGGCCCAGCCCCCATCCAGGGCAAGTGCCCTGACCAGGTATCGAACCTATGACCTCCTGGTTCATAGGTTAATGCTCAATCACTTGAGCCACCCTGGCCAGGCAGATTTAGAGTTTTGTTTTGTTTTTTAAATAAGTAGAAGGTAAAATTCAAGCTTTTAAAGTTGACCAAACAATAATCTTGTAGAATTTATAATGTCCTAATATTTCTTAATATTGTGTCATTTTGATTCTTATCCATTAGTTGCAAATCTTGTTGAGAGTTTCAACATTTTTGTATACCGTTATTTCATTAATACTTTTGCTTAAAATCTTCATCTTCATTCTTTAAACAAGGATTTTTGGCCACTATAACCCTGAATTCATCTGTTTTGTACTTTCAGACACACTACCTCATCTACGGGCAGGGATTCCAGACTTGGGAATATTCCCCAGTTTATGCCATTCGCTCCTATGCTTACCTGCTGCTTCATGCCTGGCCAGCTGCATTTCATGCAAGAATTCTACAAACTAATAAGGTAAGGGCAGGCCAACCTGGAAGCAATCACAACCGATCAAGAGGTGAGAAAAGGACAAAATAGTTTGGTAGTTAAGAGGAGACATTTTCTAGAAGAAGAATTATTTATTCATTCATTGTTCAGCAAATATTAATTAAGCAACTTTTGTTTGGTAGACACTTTATTAAGTGCTATGGATGTAACAATGACCAAATCCCTGCCCTCATGGAATTTATGGTTTAATAAAACCATCAGAAGAAATAACTAAGACAGTTGAAAGAAAGTGGTTGCCTCTGGGGACTGGGATTTGAACACAAGAAGTGGAACTGGGAACTACTGTTTTTCCTTAAAGTTTTGTAGTAATGGTTAACTTTAAAAACAATCTCAAACTGTTATTTTGATTTAAAAAAATTTTAAGGAAATTACAACTTATGTCCTTTCATAAAACAGATTCTCTATAGTCTTCAATTACTACTAGCCTGGCCAGCATGGCTCAGTGGGAAGACTACTTGTAATTGAGCAAGTAATTATAAATGTAGTGAGTCTTATGAAGGAAGAGTACCAGTTGCAGTGGGATAGCCTATTAGGAGACCCTACTTTAAACAGAGTGCTGAAGGATAGTTAGAAATTAAACCGAGACCTAACCTGATTACTTTTCAGAAATATGACTATGATGTGTCTTGGCATGGATTTCTTTTGGGTTTGTCTTGTTTGGAGTTTTCTTAGCTTCTTGAATCTTTAGACTTATGTCTTTTGCCAAATTTGGAAAGTTTATTTAAAAAATATATATATTTTTATTTATTTCAGAGAGGAACAGAGAGGGAGAGAAAGATAGAAACATCAATGATGAGAGAGAGTCATTGATCAGCTGCCTCCTCCATGCCCCATAATGGGGATCAAGCCCACAACCCAGGTATATGCCCTGACCGGAAATCTAACCGTGACCTCCTGGCTCCTAGGTCGATGCTCAACCATTGAACCACTCTGGCTGGGCTGGAAAGTTTTTAGCTGTATTTTCTTTCTTTCTTTCTTTCTTTTTTTTTTTTTTTAGTACTTTTTCAGCCCTGCCCTGTTTCTCCTCTCCTGAGACTCTAATGACATGAATGTTAGATATTTTATTTTAGTCCTACAGGTCCCTGAGACTCTGTTCTTCCTCCCTGCAGCCCCCAGTCTCTTTTTCTCTGTGTTGTTAAGGTTAATTTCTAATGTTCTGTTTTCCTGTTCACTGATTATTTGCTCTGTCCCCTCCATTTCACTGTTGACCCTACCCATTAAGATTTTATTTTGGTTATTATTTTTTTTAAATTGTAAAATTTCCACTTGGGTTTTCTTTATAGTTTCTATTTCTTTACTCAGACTTTCTATATTTTTCATTTGTTTCAAGTATGTTCTTAGTTGCTCATTGAAGCAATTTTATAATGGCTCCTTTATTATTATTATTTTAAAAAATCTTAATTGTTGAAAGTATTACATATGCCCTCCTTTTCCCCCCATCGACCCCCTTCAGTCAGTCCCTGCCCTCCTCCCTTCCCCAGTCCCAGGCTTTCACCATCCTATTATCTGTGTTCATGGGTTATGCATATATGTATACAAGGTCTTTGGTTGATTACCTCCCACTCACCCACAATCCCCCTGCCTTCCCTGCGAGATTCTGCACTCTGTTCTGTGCTTCTATGCCTCTGGATTTATTCCATTTGTCAGTTTATTTTATTAATTAGATTCCACATATGAATGAGATCATGTGATACTTGTCTTTCTCTGACTGACTTATTTCACGTAACGTGATACTTTCCAGGTCCCTCCATGCTGTCTCAAAGGGTAATTGATCCTTCTTTTTCACTGCTGCAAGGTATTCCGTGGTATAAATGTACCACAGCTTTTTTTATCCACTCATGTACTGATGGGCACTTGGGCTGATTCCAGATCTTCGCTATTGTAAATTGTGCTGCAATGAACATAGGGATGTCTACATTCTTTCTGATCTGATTGGTATTTTGAGTTTCTTAGGATATATTCCTAGAAGTGGGATCAGTGCATCAAATGGCAGTTCCATATTTAATTTTTTTTTAGAAAACTCCATACTGTTGTCCATAATGGCTGCATAGTCTATGTTCCCACCAGCAGTGTACTAGGGTTCCCTTTTCTCCACATCCTCACCAGCACTTGTCATTTGTTGCTTTGTTGATGGTAGCCATTCTGACAGGTGTGAGGTGATACCTCATTGTTGTTTTAATTTGCACCTCTTTGATGATTAGTGATTTTGAGCATTTTTTCATATGTCTCTTGGCCTTCTGTATGTCCTCTTTGGAGAAGTGTCTATTTAGGTTCTTTTGCCCAGTTTTTAATTGGATTGTTTGTCTTCCTTTTCTTAAGTTGTATGAGTTCCTTATATATTTTGGATATTAACCCTTTATCCGATATATCATTGCCAGGTATGTTCCTCCAATACAGCGGGCTCTCTTTTTGTTTTGTCGATGGTGTCTTTTGCTGTGCAGAAGCTTTTTATTTTGATGTAGTCCCATTTGTTTATTTTCTCCTTAGTTTCCTTTGTCCTAGGACAGTGATGGCGAACCTATGACGCGCGTGTCAGAGGTGACACGCAAACTCATCTTTTTGGTTGATTTTTCTTTGTTACATGGCATTTAAATATATAAAATAAATGTAAAAAATGTAAGCCTTTGTTTTACTATGGTTGCACATATCAAAAAATTTCTATATGTGGCTGTGACCGGTTTGGCTCAGTGGATAGAGCGTCGGCCTGTGGACTGAAGGGTCCCAGGTTCGATTCCGGTCAGGTGCATGTGCCTTGGTTGCGGGCACATCCCCAGTGGGGGGTGTGCAGGAGGCAGCTGATCGATGTTTCTCTCTCATCGATGTTTCTGACTCTCTATCCCTCTCCCTTCCTCTCTGTGAAAAATCAATAAAATATATTTAAAAAAAAAAAAAAAAAGAAAAAAAAATTTCTATATGTGACACAGCACCAGAGTTAAGTTAGGGTTTTTCAAAATGCTGACGCGCCGAGCTCAAAAGGTTCGCCATCACTGTCCTAGGAGATGTATCCATAAACATATTGCTATGAGAGATGTCTGAGATTTTGCTGCCTATAGATTCTTCTAGGATTTTTATGGTTTCCCAACTTACATTTAAGTCTTTTATCATTTTGAGTTTTATCATTTCTTGTGTACGGTGTAAGTTGGTGATCTAGTTTAATTTTTTTGCATGTACCTGCCCAATTTCCCCCAATACCATTTATTGAAGAGGCTGTCTTGATTCCATTGTATGTTCTTGCCTCTTTTATCAAATATTAATGACTGGGGTTGATTTCTGGGGTCTCTGTTCTGTTTCATTGATCTGTATGCCTGTTGTTATGCCAATAGCAGGCTGTTTTAATTACAGCAGCTTTGTAGTATTAACTTGACATCTGGTATTGTGATTCCTCCAACTTTGTTTTTCTTTCTCGAGATTGCTGCAGCTATTTGGGGTCTTTTTTGGTTCCATATGCATTTTTGGAGTATTTGTTCTAGATCTGTGAAATATGCTATTGGTATTTTAACATAGATAGATTGCATTGAATTTGTAGATTGCCTTGAGTAGTATGGACATTTTATTATTTTTATTTTTTTTAAAAATATATATTTTATTGATTTTTTTACAGAGAGGAAGGGAAAGGGATAGTTAGAAACATCGATGAGAGAGAAACATTAATCAGCTGCCTTCTGCACACCCCCTACTGGGGATATGCCCGCATCCAAGGTACATGCCCTTGACTGGAATCGAACCTGGGACCTTTCAGTCCGCAGGCGGACGCTCTATCCACTGAGCCAAACCGGTTAGGGCAGTATGGACATTTTAATGATATTGATTCTACCAATCCATGAACACGGTATATTCTTCCATTTGTTTATAGCTTCTTCTATCTCTTTTTCAATGTTACAGTGGTTCCTTTAATACAGGGGTTCTCAAACTTTTTAAACAGGGGGCCAGTTCACTGTCCCTCAGACGGTTGGAGGGCCGGACTATAGATTAAAAAAAAACTGTGAACAAATTCCTATGTACAGTGCACATATCTTATTTTGAAGTAAAAAAACAAAACGGGAACAAATACAATATTTGTATTTGCATGTGGCCTGTGGGCCGTAGTTTGAGGACCCCTGCTTTAACACTTAGGTGATTTTAACATCTCTCTCTTTTTCTTTTGGTATTTATTGATTGATTTTTTTCATTGAGTTTGAAATCTTACTGTTGACAAGTAATTTTCAGTTAAAACTTGGATATTTTGGGTATTCCATTATGAGACTGGATCTTATTCATGGGCCCCGCGTTCTTCTGCTGCACTGCTCTGCTCCTCTGGGTCCTAATGAAGCCTTTGTTTTAGCTGGCTTCCTTTGATATACTCTACTTGTTACTGCAGGTGAGGGTAGAAGTCTAGGTTCCCCACTAGGCCTCCACTGATAACACCCTAGTGGGCAGGGTAGGTGTACTGCATAATGACACTGTGGTTCAACAATGGATGCAACGCGTTCCTCATGTGTTTGTGGTGATACTGGTGTAAACAGACCTACTGTGCTCCCAGTCATATAAAAGTACAGCATGTTCAGTTATGTAAAGTACATAATACTTTATAATGATATAAACGATTGTGTTACAGGTTTATGTATTTACTATACTAAACTTTTTATCGGTAATTTAGAGTGGATTTTTTATACTTTTTTAAAAATATATTTTTATTGATTTCAGAGAGGAAGGGAGAGGGAGAGAGAGATAGAAACATAAATGATGGGAGAGAATCATTGGTCAACTTACATTTGTTCACATCCTTTTGCAGGGATCGAGCCTGCAATCCAGGCATGTTCCCTAAACTGGAATTGAACCTGGGACCCTTCAGTCTGCAGGCCAACACTCTATCCGTTGGGCTCTTTATACTTATTTTAAACCGGCTAGGGCTCTTTATACTTATTTTAAAAAGTTTAAAACAAAAAAAAAAGTAAAGCATTATGCCATCTTATGTTGGCAGCAGCCTCATACATCCAGTGTTCACTGTGTCTCTGGAGTACATCAGTTTCTCTTGTGCTTGATTTAATCTCGTGTTGTTTTGTACAGTACTATGGTAAGTGCTACTAGGCTACCATCTAGGTTTGTGTAAGTACAGTCTGTGACGTTCGTACAAGGACGAAATTGCCTAACATTGAATTTTTCAGACTGTGTACGCATCAATAAATAGCAATGACTGTACTGCTAGGTTAGGGGAGGGGAACAGGCTTTCCAGGGGATCACCACTGACACTGGGGTGGAAGAGAGAGCTCATTGCCACGGGCAAGGATAAAAGTCCTGGCTTCCTACTGGATCTTTGGTCGCATCCGTGAGACTGGAGCTAGATTTTTTTATGGGGTGCTTGGCTGGAGTAGAATGGTTCTTGTCTAAAAGTTTTCTGTCTTGCTAGGCTATCCCTTTCTTGTTTTTTTGGCTAGATAGAGCAGGTACTCATTGGTGTTATTTTGTCTCTGCCCCCCATTGGCATTTCTAGTTGCCAACTTCTTTAGCTCCAAGTTTGGAATATGAAAGACAAAAAAACGAAAACCCAGCAAACTTACCACCATGTTGTTACTTAGGTCCTCACCCAAGGATATTTTTCCGTTGATTTTTAGAGAGAGTGGAATGGAGAGGGAGAGACACAGAGAGAGAAACGTTGATGTGAGAGAGACACATGCCCTTGACCAGAATTGAACCTGGGACCCTTCAGTCTGTGGGCCGAGGCTCTATCCACTGAGCCAAACGTGCTCGGGCTATTTATGACTACATTTTAAGGACCACGGATAATCATCAACTAGAAAGCTTTGATATGCTTGCTAAACATAGTGAAGTTTGTCAAAGGTCACAGTATGAAAACTTAAAAATGAAATGAATTCTGGGATACAGAAATGGAGTTAGTTTTGTTCACATCTACATCTATACAATTGTCTTTAAGAAATGTTTGTTGAATGAGTAAGCTTTATATAAGAATTTTTCTACTTTTTTTTGTAACCAGAAATTTTAGTATCTGTATACTTGTCCATGAAATAGATACAGCCTAATTTATTTAACCATTTCACTAAATGTATTTAACCATTTCCCTATAATTGGACATTTTGTAGTTTTTAAAAAAGTTTTTCTGAATTAATAGTGCTGCAATTAATATTTTCATGAATAGAACCACCATCCCATATTTACTTACATAGTTACTTCTGTGAGCTGGAATCATAGAATTAGATACACTGAATTTAGGGGATATGAAAATTTTCATGGTTTTTGATACATATTGCTTTTATAAGGATTATATAAATTTATAGTGTTATTAATAACAAAGGAGAGTGGTGTCATTGTTAAGAGTTTTGCTGACTTGTATCTGTGATCTGTTTTTGTTTTTTTTTGTCCTGGGTTTCTTTCAGATTCTTGTCTTTTACTTTTTACGATGTCTTCTGGCTTTTGTGAGCTGTATCTGTGAACTTTACTTTTACAAGTGAGTATAAAAGCTTTGCTTCTAAAAGTGCTATGAGGAAACCCAATATAGATTATTTTTCTGATAGTATTAGCAGTGTTTAAAAATAGAAAACACTTTCCTTCTGGCTCCTAATATTATATCTAAAATGTGATCTCTTGTTTGAAACAAACTGTTGGAAGGGGAATACTTCTAATGATCACTTTTTTCCCCCTGAGTTTCATAAATACTGTAACTTCATATTATTAATTTTAATTCTGTTAATACATATCTAACTAGTCTTCTCTTTGGGAGGATTTAGTAGCGCTTTATTTTGGGTCCCAAGATATAGATAGGATCATGATTTACCTTTTCCCCTTGAGCTTAACTGACAGGAACTTATTCCCGTGTGGGACTCACTGCTCTTATTTGCATCCAGTAAATGAATTTCACCAAGTACCTATTGTTTGATTGAATATTAGTGGAAATACTAAGTATTTTAGTAATAAAAATAGCTCATTTTTTTTACATGAAGCCTAACAAACATCTTATTTGGTTAATGCTGTTAAAGGTATTTGGACTTAATGATCATTATTAAAAATCTTCCCACTGCAAAACAGCTAAAAATGTCAGATAAAAAAATAGTTGGCCTTGACTCTGGGTGGAATAGAGGAGAAAAAGGAAAGCCAGTTCTGCCTTTGAGGATTATAACCATAAGTTGGTCGTCATATGGGCTCAGGATTGAATTCAAATCACCCACTTGGTCCCCCAACCCCCAAGTTGAGAATTTGTTTAAAATTGTTCTGGGATGGTAGTGCTTTCAGGCTACTTGCAAAAGTGAATGTAAAATTTCGTTAGAGGAGTGAATTCTTAACCCAAGTGTCAAAGAATTACCACAGGTAAAGTTTCAGTGAACAAGACATTATAGTAAAAATAAATCATAGAGCACAAAAGGGAACAAGGCACTATGCCTGAGAGCCAACAGACATAACGACAGGTAGCTGACCCGCACGACTTCATTTATTAGGAATTACTGAAAGGAGAATGTAAAATAAGCATATTTAATATTTTTAAAGACATGTAAGAGGGAATTGAAAACATAAATCAGAAATGAGACTAATCAACAGAATGGAAAGGAACTTACAAAATGGGAGAAAATAATTGTAAACCATATTTCCAAAATATATGTGTAAGGAACTCCAGCAACTCAATAGCAAAAACACTAATAATTTGATTACAAAATGGACTAAGGACTTGAATAGACATTTCTCCAAAGAAGACATACTAATGACCAATAGATATGTGAAAAGGCAATCAATGTCGCTAATCATCAGGGAGATACAAGTCAAAACCACAATGAGATCACTTCATATTTGTTACAATGGCTGTTAAAAAAAAAAAAAGACAACAGATGTTGTCAAGGAAGTAGAGAAATTAGGACCCACACACCATTGGTGGGAATGCAAAATGGTAGTGCAACTATGGAAAACAGTATGAGGTTCCTCAAAAAATTAAAATTCGACTACCAGCAATCCCACTTTTAAAAAAATATGTTTTTATTGATTTTTAGAGAGGAAGGGAAAGGGAGAGAGAGATAGAAACATTGATCAGCTGCCTCCTGCATGCCCCCTACTGGGTATCGAGCCCACAATCCCAGGCATGTGCCCTGACTGGTCATGGAACTGGTGACGTCTTGGTGCATGGTTCCATGTTCAGCTACTGAGCCACACCAGCTGGGTAGCAATCCCATTTCTGAGTATTTACCTAAAAGAATTGAAATCAGAATCTGGAAGAGATATGCACATTCCCATGTTCATTGCAACATTGTTCACAATAGCCAAGATTGAAAACAAGGTAAATATCCATTGACAGATGAATGGCGGAGGGGCGGGGGCGCAAATGTGTTATATACATACAATGGCATATTATTCAGTCTTAAAAGAGTGAAATCCTGCAATATGTGACAATATGGAAGAACCTTGAGGACATTATGCTAAGTGAAATAACCAGTCACAGAAGGACAAACACTGCATGATTCCACTTATATGAGGTTTCTAAAATAGTCACATTCATGGAAGCAAAAGAATTGACTTGTGGTTGCCAGGCGTTGGAGAGAGGGGGAAACAGGAAGCTGCTAATCGATGGATATACAATTTCAGTTATACAATATGAATTCATTCTAGAGATTTGCTGTACACCATTATGCTTATAGATAACAATGTTTTACACTTAAAAATCAGGTTAAGAGGATAGATCTCATATTAAGTGTTCTTACCACAATAAAATAAAGAAGTTAAAAGAACTGAGACTACAACAATAACCAGGCAGATTTGAAAAAGAACTGAACAGAACTTCTAGAAATGAAAATATAAGAATTGGTATTTAAAATTTAATAGATAGGTCTCCAGGGGTGGGGAACATCCAGCCTGCAGGTTGTATAAGGCTCACAAAATCATTTGGTCTGGCTCTGCCAAGGCATGGGGGTGAGTTAATTAAGTGTTTGACCAAATATAGCAGGCTTATTTTTAAGTTGATAATGTTGTATGGCCCACAAATGATGTTATAAATATCCACATGGCCCTTGGCAGAGAAAGGTTCCCCACCTCTGGTTTAAACAGATGATTAGACATTACTAACATGTAAACTAGAAGATTGATCTGAAGAAAACACTAAGAATGCAGTACAGTGACAACAAATGGAAATATAAAAGAGTTAAGAATGTTCATTGCCACATTATTCACAATAGCTAAGATTGGAAACCACCTATATGTCCACTGACATTGCGTATGATAGAGTTGAAAGATGTGATATCTAATCACATTCTAGGAGATAATGGGGAGGATGGCGAGAGGCAGTTTTCAGGGTAGTAATGGCTAAGAATTTTCCAGAATTGATGAAAAAAAAAAAAGATGCTAATCCACAGATTCAGAAAGCCCAACATATCCTGATATGCATAACTAAAAAGGAAGAGTGAAACTGTGTAGAACTTCAAGAACAGAGGAGATTTTGGTGTTGTGGCTTAGTGGTTGAGCACTGATTGATCTATGAACCAGGAGGTCATGATTCAATTCCTGGTCAAGGCACGTGACTGGGTTGCAGGCTCGATTCTCAGTAGGGGGCTTGCAGGAGGCAGCCAATCAATGATTCTCTCTCATCATTGATGTTTCTGTTTCTCTCTCCCTTTCCCTTCCTCTCTGAAATCAATAAAAATTTAAAAAAAAAAAAAAAGATCTTAAAAGTTGACAGAGAACTTAATAGATTACCTATAAAGGAATGTTAGGCTCACTGACGCCTTCTCAAATGCCAAAGGCAATAAATAAATAAATAAATAAATAAATAAATATCTTCAAAGTGCCGAGAGAAAATTACTGTCATTCTAAAATTGAATACTCAGGCAAACCATCTTTTAAGAGCTAAATAAAGACTTTTTATACATAATATAAAAGAAAGAAAAAGAAATCCAACAAAAACAGAATTTACCACTAACAGAGCTTCACTAAAGGAACTTCTAAAGGATATACTTAGGAAGAAGCTAAAGTATTTCAGAAAGAAGCTCTGAGATGCAATAAGGAACCTGAGCAATACAAATAGTTCACACATGGTATGTCTGAGCAAATTTTGACTGAATGAAGCAATAACAATTTCTAATAATGTTTCATTTATAGGCCTTTTAAAGACCTACAGGAAAGAAGTAAAGGGAGTGTATAATTAATTGCTTAAGTTTGAGAAACCCTGACTTAGATAAGGACTTATTAACACTGTGGTGTATCTCCTAGTCTTTTTCTGACAACTACCATTCATTGAGTGACTGCCAGGCACTCTTCTAAGCACTTGGCCATGCATTGTCCTCCCAGAAACCATACAAAGTCTCACTAACCTCTTTTTACAGAGGAGGAATCTGACAGAGTGAGTATGTACCTAGACAAGGGTGTCACTGCTAGTAAGTGGCAGACTCCAGATTTGAACCTGTGCCTATGTGAGTCTGAGGCCTATTGTTTTCTACAACATCATGCTGTTTTCCTATTGTTAGTAGACATGCCCTTCGCACAGAAAGTATATCTTTCCTTATAGGGAGAGAGCTTCTCTCCTTATGCACGTGAACATTGCTAACAAACCCGTCAAGTCCGCTTGGTATTTGACTTTACATCTTCCGTGTTCTCTGTGATGCGGGCATGTTTTTGTCTTTTGATTTGAAATTTCCATCCCCACGATGTGCTCTGCTGAGAGTTTTTGCCTTTCTCCTAGGGCCGTGTGTAAGAAGTTTGGGTTGCACGTGAGTCGAATGATGCTAGCCTTCTTGGTTCTCAGCACTGGCATGTTCTGCTCATCTTCAGGTAAGTAAAGGAGCAGGTGAGGGCATAACAGGTTCACTGATATTTCACAGTTGCATTTAAAGAAGGCACTTGTCCAGATACAGTTTATATTTGTATAACATGTCAATAATGTGCAGATCACTCTTACCTGTACACTCTGGATTGGCTTTACCACATTAAGTAAGGTAAGTATTTTCTCATTTTTGTTGGAACTTAGAAAGATGACATGACTTACTGAAAGTCAAACAATTCGTAAGTGGTAGAGCTGTTGTTTTCATGAGGTTGCTTTCTGTTAGATATTATATTTTTTTGTCACTGTAAGGCTGAAAAACACAGGCACCCACCCTTTCTTTGTTGTTAGGGGAAGGAAAATCATTTTATTATTTTGCTCAAGAAAGCTCTTGTGCCTAAAAAACCTGTTCTTGGTGGTTCTCCTTTTTGCCCAATATTTGCAATGTGTTCTGTAAAGGTTTACATCTTCTGTTGAGATTTTTTTTTTCATACTAAGTTTGTAGAAATAGAGAATAAGAACCTTAATCTAGAGAGGTGGCTTTCAAACTATGCTGCCAGTGAACATTCGTGTTCTATGAGCTGAACCAAGGTAACCTGCTGCCAAAAGGCAGCCTGTTCCCAGTCTCTGGAAAAATTGTTACTATATATAATTACTTCAATTTTAATTTCTGCTTGCTTGTACCAGAATCTAGTATACACACTAAATATGCACACAAATTGTATCCAGCTCAAAAGTATATGTTTTTTCTTCATTGACTATCAAAATCTATGTTGTTCTGCAGACACCTCAGGGCTCCACACCCAAATAACTTTGAGAGCCAGTGGCCTAAATGAGACTGTGCTCTCCCCTCTGAGCTGGCAGAGACCTCAGATTCCTCTGCTCCCCTTGCCTGAACACTGTGGATGGCATCGATTCTATTTAGCATTTATCTGTGAAGGTTGTACACGACGTTTTTCTAGTTACTTTGCTACTCCTAAAATTGATGCTTCTCTGAGGGAGATACTTGGGAGTGTCTTTAGTTTTGTAACTTCAGTTGAGAATGTTAAGGCACAGATTAGTTCATAGCATCCTTTGAGACAAAGCCTCATCTCTTTGCCAAGGTTCTTAGATCATATTGCCTCTTCATCGTGGTTCTTGTTGGAGTCAGTACTGACTTTTCTTCCCCAGTGCTAGGTGAAGTAGACCTCATACAGCAGGGAGATGCAGATCTGCATTTTTGTGTAGAATTGGTGGAAACACTTTGATCAAACGTCACTATTGTAGAGAACCTGAGTACAGTCAGTCCCCTCCTGTATACAACAGCAAAGTAATACTAGATGGAAATAATTAGGGGGACACCTAAGGCCACACATCTATGTCAGTGGATGCAGGATGCAAATCAGTGTTACCATCCAACTTTTGGCCTTTGAGAAGTTTTCCCAGAATTCCTATGGGGAACAGGTTGGTACTTGGACAGCCTCAGAAGACTGTCAGAAGATAAACTTCTCCAGAAATAGATTGTCAGCAGTGGCTCTAAGTTTCCTGAAGCTTATTCACTGCCTGGAAATATAGCCTGGGGTTATGCCTGGGGAACCTGGAGTTCTGTAAGTTTTAGATTTGGGAATAGGCCAGGAGAGGGATGGCATGGTTGGTATTGTAGAACTGGCTGGGTGATGTGTTGGTACCTAAAAACAGGAGTGAGAAAACAAGAAAATCATTGCATTTCTTTTTTTAAAAGGTGCCCACTTCTAATATAGCATTGCTCAAAATATGTTCCTGGTTATTGACATTTTGCAATATAGTAGGTAAATTTTTAATAATTGATACTTAATAAATCTCAAACTCTGTCCCTGTCCCCCTTTTTTTCATGTCTTTACTCTTACAGCATTTCTTCCTAGTAGTTTCTGTATGTATACTACATTGATAGCCATGACTGGCTGGTATATGGACAAAACTTCCATTGCTGTGCTTGGAGTAGCAGCTGGGGCAATCATTGGCTGGCCATTCAGTGTGGCTCTTGGGTAAGAAACTAACACAATTCATCTCCCTTGTGTCACTGGGCATATAGTAAATCTTAATGTTAGGTTATCTCCATATTCTCTGGGTAGGATCTAAAGTTAGAGGATTTATTTGGGTCTGCAAAGACTAGGAAATGAAAGGATATTTCTCTTGGTGCTCATTGTTTTGATTAATAAGAATAGTAATTGTTAAGCATCTGCTGCGTGTTAGACACTGCTAACCCACTTACAAACTTCATTCCTAAACCTTATAACAACTCTGCAGGAGAAATCAATTATTAGTGCTTTGTAAATGAGAGAGTAGAGTCCAAGAGGTTGAGTAATTTGCCTTTAAGATGTTTGCTTTTGGGTCCAGGCACTTCTGACTCTGTAGCAGATGCTTTTTCCACACTGTACCACCCTAGGCTGTGTTTTTTCAGTTGCCACGGCTTGAAATCTGAGTTCCTTTCAGTCCTCCCTTCTTGCCCCCAGAATAATTTTTCTTAGTTTCATAGTGCCTGTCATTCCTTTTGTACTTTTTGTTCCCACCACTCTATTCTATTTGTGCTGCCTTAATTTATTGCCTGGATCACTAGTAATTTAGAAAAAACTTCAGTTTGATGTTGAGGTCATTACAGTAGTAGTAGTATATCTTTATTATTTTAAAAGTATTGGATTGTTTGAGGTAAAAAGAATTCTTAATTTTCTTCTCCCCTTACACAATCTTCAAAGATAGTCACTGCTAATAGTTTTGTGTATATCTTTCCAGAAATTATCCTTGCATGTGTAAATGCATACACACACTTATATACCAAAATTCTTAAAATAAATAGAATTATTCTATACTCATGTAAATTTTTTATTGTACATAGATTTATATTATTCTTTGTATCTATTGCATAGCATTCCATTATATGGCTGTTCATAATTTATTTAGCCATTGTCTTATTGGTAGACATTTGGTTTTCATTTTTTTGTTATTATACACATGCTTCAGTGAACATTTTTGTACATATGTCTATATACTTGTGGAAATTTATCTATGGAATACATTTTTAGAAAGGGAATTCTAAGAGAATAGGCATTTTAAATTTTCTTAATTGACTTTTAAAAGCTGGTATCTCCACCTTCAATCTTTTCTTTTATTCTGCATATTATCCTCAAATTACTTTATTCTTTAAGGTTTTGTTTGTGGTTCTCGTCTATACTTTCTGCTATCTAGTCAATCATCTCTTCAGTTTCACTCATATATTCCTAGCTGCCTATTAGATCTCTCCATTTATATTTACGACATTGAACTCATTACTTCCCTTCCATATCTGTTTCTTTACCTCTGTTTCGATCTCAGCAAATGGTACTGTCTGTGCTGAGCCAGGAACCTGAAACTTATCTGTGACTCTCTTCTCTTCCCCATGTCCTATTAATTTATTACACCTCCTGGATATCTTTTGAATCTGACTACTTTTCTTCACCTCTCACTGGTCCTGGGTTACCTTACAGCCTCCTGAATGATCTTCCTGCCTCTAGTATTGATCCTTGTAAATCTACTCTCCACATTCAAACGTTCCTTTTAGAGTTATCTTCCTAAAATGCAAATATGATTGTATCTCTCCCTATTTTGTTCCAAACTATATAATAGCTTCCCCAATGCTCTGTGTCTCAGAGGTTGGCAACCTGTATCCAATGGAGCAAATCCAGCTGGCTTGTTTTTGTACAGCCCAAGAACTAAAATTTTCGCAATTTTAAAGGGTTGTTAAAAACAACACACACACACAGAAGAATATGCAACAGAGACTGTATGAGGCCTTGTGAAGCCTAGAATATATGCTGTCTGGTCCTTTAAATAAAAGTTTGCCAGCCTGTTTCACGGTGTGCAAACTCTAACATGACGCATAAAGCCCTTATATTTCCCCCCTTTTACCTCTCCAGCCTTCTTTTTTTAAGTTCCTCCATTTCTTTTACTCTCTACTCCATCAACATTGAACTTTTGGAGTTCCCCAAATACCTCTGGGTCATCTCTTTTGATTGGTCTGCCTTCAGCCGAGATAAGTGATTTCAGGATCACAGTCAGTTAGCAATCTACCATCATTTATCGAATCCTTTGTGCTAGGCATGGCTGATACTGTGAAAAATAAAACAGTTATGGTTCTTGTTTTTTTGAAGCTTGCATTTTAGTAGGAAAGGCAGACAGTGAACAGGTAAATTAAAAATATGGTGACTTAGGTGTTACATGCCGCTGAGTTGGCTCTGACTCCTGGCCAGTGAGTGGTGTCCACAATGTCCTGATCTCAACAGCCCTGCTCGGCTCCTGTAGACTCATGCCTATGGCTTCTATGGGGTTAACACATCTTCTATTTGGTCTTCCGCTTTTCTTGTTGTCTTCTATTTTCCCCAGCATTGTCTTTTCCAAAAAACCCTGTCTTATCAAAGGAGGAATATAGCACATGGAAATGTAACCATTGGGGAGGGAAAAAAATGAAAACACAAATGTTAATGCAAAATGTAGGTAATAGAATGTGGAAATTCAAATTATAAAAGATGATGTTCTGTGACAACGCATGCTAAATAAGTCACAGAGATGCCTGGAGGAGGGGGGAATAGAGCCTATAGTTGACATTACAGCTTGATGCTAGACCAGCGGTTCTCAACCTGTGGGTTGCGACCCCTTTGGGGGTCGAACGACCCTTCACAGGGGTTGCCTAAATACATCCTGCATATCAGATATTTACATTATGATTCATAACAGTAGCAACATTACAGTTATGAAGTAGCAACGAAAATAATTTTATGGTTGGGGGTCACCACAACATGAGGAACTGTATTAAAGGGTCGCAGCATTAGGAAGGTTGAGAACCACTGTGCTAGACCTTCAGGAAGAAATAGTGAAGGCAACATACATATTCCTTGCTTCAAGAACTTAAGTGAAAGGAAGAAGAACAAATGGTATTAGAAGAGGGTATATCAGAATTGAAGTCATTTGTAATATGATATTGCTAAAATCTTAATATATCACAAAAGGGAGAAATCAGTATTTATTTGGCAGGAAGGGTATAGAACAGTAGGCTACGTTTACCTTATTATTAATATATTTTAAATGTCCATTAGACATAAATATGTATAAAACAGAGCTCATTCCAGAAGCTCAGTCTTTATATTTCTTGTGCATTGTGGGTGCATTGCACTCTGATGGGTCCTGAAGAGAACAGTGTATTTTTGAGAAGAAATCCTCTCCTGTACCACCTTTCTTCCTCAGTACAACTGCTAGAGACATGTTATTCTCAGTTCTGCATGAGGTATGTGAATCTGACCTGTCTATATTCTCTCTAAGTATATAACTCCCCACTTTCTGTTTCTCTGTTAAATAGTTTACCTATTGCCTTTGACTTGCTGGTCATGAAACACAGGTGGAAGAGTTTCCTCCATTGGTCGCTGGTGGCTTTAATACTCTTTCTGGTGAGTTTTCTCTTTTCCTTGTTTTGTTCTAAAATTGTAATGACAGCAACTTCTTTTTTAAATTTTTAATTTAATTTAATTTAATTTATTGGGTAACATCTGTTCATAACATTATATAAGTTTCAGGTATACAATGTTGTAATACATCATCTGTATGTTCCACTGTGTGGAAGCAACCTCTGATGTGGGAAAGAGAGCATTAGGAGTTGGTTCTGTTTTTGATTTTGAAGTTTGTCCTATGAGCATTGTGAGAATGTCCAGAGCCAAACTCCGCAATTGCTATGTATTTTCTGCTCTGTTTCAGGTGCCTGTGGTGGTCATCGACAGCTACTATTATGGGAAGTTGGTGATTGCACCACTCAACATTGTTTTGTATAATGTCTTTACTCCACATGGACCTGATCTTTATGGTAAGGCCTTATGAGATTGGGCAAGAATGAGGAGATAGCTTAATTTGCCTGTGTTTTGAAATTTTAATTCAACTGCCTCATTTGATCAAATATGCCATTTTTTTGCTGATAATATTATTTTCTGATTTTAAAAAGAAATGTTGATCGGCTGGTGGGCTCAGTGGTTTGGCATCGACCTATGAACCAGGGGATCACAGTTCGATTCCAGTCAGGGCACATGCCAGGATTGTGGTTCAATCCCCAGTAGGGGGCGTGCAGGAGGCAGTCGATGGATGATTCCCTCTCATCATTTATGTTTCTATTTCTCTTTCCCTCTCCCTTCCTCTCTCTGAAATCAATAAAAACATATTTAAAAATAAAATAAAATAAAAATAAATGTCATTTGAATATAGCTCAGTGATATGTTGCCACTAGATGTTTTTCCTTGATTAATAAGATAGTTACATTTAGCTTTCTGTTGGTCCTGCTGTTATTCTCAGTTGCAAAGTAGTGAGGACTCTGCTGAGTATGCCATGGCTTTTGATACTACTCTTTTTTTTATTAAAAGTTACTTTTTTCTCTTCTCATTAGAAAATTAATACGGTAACAAAAATAAAAACATTCATAATCCCCTAATCTCCAGATAGCAATTGTTAACACCTTGGAGTTGTACATGTACACATTTGGTACTATTAATTGTTTATTTAATTCACATTACTTCAGTATCAGGCATTAGGGGGAAAAGTGGAAAATTTATAGATAAAGCATAGCAACTGTGTGTGTGTGTGTCGAGGAGGGGAGTGTCAGCATGAGAAGGTAGGTAGTGTTGACATAAGAAAGGTCCAAACTTGTAGTGAAATTTTTGTAAGAATTTGAGCCAAACTGAAAACACATGCTCGAAGCAAGATCTCAAATGATCCAAAGAATAAGTTTCTTTTATGCATTTGAAATTAAGGTGGGAAGGAAGGAAGATTACTTGAGAATAGGAGAATGCAAGGCAGGGATCTGATTACAGGTTGAGATTATGTGCTTTCATGAAAGTGACTACCCTTTTTTTAGGGGTCTGAAAAGAGTTATTTCAAAGATATGTTAACCTAGATGTGCAGAAACTAAAGACAGGTCTTGCTTAAGGCAAAGATAACCCTTTTACTAAATAATATATGCCTAGGACGTGACCTGCCCATTTAGGCATTTATGATCAGATCACTCAGGGAGCTTCCTTTCCATAGAACTCATCTTTTTTATCCACTATAGTTTGGCCAGTTTAGGGTTCAGAGAAAAAAGGAATGCCTTTAGTCCAGGGATGCATTCCCCAGTTTACTGTCATCTCCACCCCTCTCCATGCCTTTCTTTCAGCCAGGCATTTCTTCTTTTTTCCCTCTAGCCAGCCATTTGTCCCCTAAGGGCTTTTGAGTTAGTGAGCGCTATAGGGGGATGAGCTAGAGAGATCTTTCTGATTAGATCATGCAAGTCAGTCAGCAATTTATGGGACATTTTTTAATTAAAATAAGTGTAGTTTCTTTGCCTTAATCTTTTGAAGTTCTTAGAGCATTCTGTATATGATTGTCTTGGGCTCTGCTATGAACAAAGCAGGTTAATATATTATCAATTTAAGCCATGCCCACCATTTTTTATGCCACCCTGCCAATAGAACCAGCAGATGGAGTGAGGAGATTTAAAGTAAGCATGTGAATGAAATTTAATAAGGCCTCCTGGGATTTGGGGGAATATTGTTATTTTAGATGGCAAGTAATCGGTTAAAATAAGCTGTTTTGTTTGTGAATGGAATTCACAAACTGCATGGTTAAAGAATAATTGCTAAGTGAAGGAATTACAAAAGACTCTTATGGCTCCAAGATCCCCAAGGATGTGACAAACAGCCCCAATTTTAAGCTTTGCCCGAAGTTGTCTCCCCTTAGCTAGGGAGAGTTTGCATATTTTTAGTTGCCGCTTCCTTCAGTTCACTTGTAAAATTTTATTTCTTTCTACAAGACAAGGGAGACTTCTCTCAGACCCAGATGGCACATTAGAAATTGGTTTACATGGAACCTACTAGAAGCATGATATCTGCTATGTATGGGTGAATAAACTATTAATTTGAGTTTACTTTATAAAAATTGGATTCTCGCCCTAGCTGGTTTGGCTCAGTGGATAGAGCGTTGGTCTGCGGACTGAAGGGTCCTGGGTTCAATTCCAGTCAAGGCCATATGCCCAGTTGCAGGCTGAATCCCCAGTAGGGGGTGTACAGGAGGCACCAATCAATGATTCTCTCTCATCATTGATATTTCTATCTCTCCCTCTCCCTTCCTGTCTAAAATCAGTAAAAATATATTTTAAAAAAATTGGATTCTCCACCCAGCTCCTGCCCCACCCCAGGCCTTCACTGAACTGTTGTCTCTATCCATGGGTTATGCATATAAATTCCTTAGTAAATTTCTACCCGCCCTCCACCTTGTCCTTCCCTCTGAGATTTGTCAGTCTGTTCCATGCTTCCATGTCTCTCGACCTATTTTGTTCATCAGTTTATTTTGTTCATTAAGGTCCACACATAAGTGAGATCACGTGATATTTGTCTTTCCCTGACTGGCTTATTTCCCTTAGGATAATTATCTCCGGGTCCATACATGCTGTCTCAAACAGTAAGAGAGCCTTCTTTTTTCATAGCTACATAGTATTCCATTGTGTAAATATATCACAGCTTTTTTATCCACTCATCTACTGATGGGCACTTGGGCTGTTTCCAGATGTTAGCTATTGTAAATAATGCTGCTATGAGCATAAGGGTGCGTAGATTCTTTCTGATTGGTGTTTTGGGATTCTTAGAATGTATTTCGAGAACCGGGATTGCAGGGTCAAACGGAAGTTCCATTTTTAATTTTTTGAGGAATCTCCATACTGTTTCCACAGTGACTGCAACAGTCTGCATTCCCACCAGCATTGTACTAGGGTTCCCTTTACCCTACATCCTTGTCAGCATTTGTTGTTTGTTGATTTATTGATGGTAGCCATTCTGGCAGGTATGAGGTGATGCCTCATTGTAGTTTGAATTGGCATTTCTCTGATGATTAGTGACATTGAGTATTTTTTCATATGTCTATTGGCCATCTGTATGTCCTCTTTGGAGAAGTGTCTGTTCAGGCCCTTTGCCAATTTTTAAATTGGATTGTGTGTCTTCCTTTTGTTGAGTTGTATGATTTCTTTATATATTTTGGAAATTAACCCCTTATCAGATGTATCACTGAAGAGCATGTTCTCCAATACAGTGGGTTCTCTTTTCATTTTGTGGCTGGTTTCTTTTGCTGTGAAGAAGCCTTTTATTTTTATGTAGTCCCATTTGTTTACTTTTTTCTTTGTTTCTCTTGCCCTAGGAGATATATCAGTGAAAATTCTGCTATGTGAAATGTCTGAGATTTTACTGCCTATGTTTTTTTTCTAGGATTTTTATGGTTTTGCAATTTACACTTAAGTCTTTTATCCATGCCATTGAGTTTATTCTTGTGTATGGTGTAAGCTGGTGATCTGGTTGCATGTTTTTGCATCTGTCCATTTTTCCAACTCCCTTTATTGAAGAGACTGTCTACGCCATTGTGTGCTCTAGCCTCCTTTGTCAAATATTAATTGACCATAATCGCGTGGGTCGATTTCTGAGGTCCTTGTTCGATTTCTGAGGTCTTTGATTATATGCCTGCTCCTGTACTAGGCTGTTTTGATTACAGTGGCTTTGTAGTATAGTTTGATATGTAGCATTGTGATCTTTCCAATTTTGTTCTTTCTCAAGATTTCTGTGGTAATTCAGGGTCTTTTTTGGTTCCATAGGAATTTTTGGAATATTTGTTCTAGATCTGTGAAATATGTTCCTGGTATTTTAATAGGGATTGCGTTGAATCTATAGATTACTCTGGGTAATATGAACATTAGACTGTCAACTGACTTCTCAATAGAAACACTTCAGGCCAGAGGGAGTGGCATGAAGTACTCAAAGTAATGAAAAGCAAGGGCTTAAATCCAAGACTACTGTACTCAGGGAGGCTATCATTTAAAATTGAAAGTGAAATAGCTTTCCAGACAAAAAAAAAGGTTAAAGGAGTACATTACAATTAAACCAGCAATGCAAGAAATGTTAAAGGGGCTGCTTTAAGAAGAAGGAGAAAAGGAGAGAGAGACGATGTAGGCATAAAGAAAATAGAAATGGCAATAAATACCTATCAATAATAACCTTAAATGTAAATGGATTAAATGCTCCAGTCAAAAGACATAGGGTGATTGAATGGATAAGAAACATGACCCATATATATGCTGTCTACAAGAGATCAACCTCAGAACAAAAGATACACACAGATTGAGAGTGAAGGAATGGAAAAATATATTCCATGCAAATAGAAAGGAAAGAAAGCTGGGGTAGCAATACTCATATCACACAAAATAGACTTTAAAACAAGGGCCATAACAAGAGACAAAGAAGGTCACTTCATAACACTAAATGGAATCTTTCAACAAGAAACTACAACCCTTGTAAACATATGCACCTAATATAGGAGCACCCAAGTTCACAAAAAATTCTTGATGGACTTTAAGGGAGAGATTAACAGCAATACAGTTGTAATAGGGGACTTTAACACCCCAGTGACATCACTGGATAGATCTTTCAGACAAAAAGTTAACAAGGAAACGGAGGCCTTAAATGACACACTAGATCAGATGGATCTAACTGATGTTCACAGAACATTTCACCCCAAAGCAACATTCTTCTCAAGCGCACATGGAACATTCTCAATGATAGACCATATGTTAGGGCACAATACAAGTTTATACAAATTCAAGAAGATTGATATAATGCCAAGCATCTTCTCAGATCACAATGACATGAAGTTAGAAATCAACTACAATAAAACCAAACTCAAAAACACTCAAATACATGGAGGCTAAATAGCATGTTCTTAAACAATGAATGTGTTACCAATGAGATCAAGCAAGAAATTAAAAACTTCCTGGAAACAAATGAAAATGAGCACACAAGCACC